GGAAGATTCTATTAAAATATTTTGTGCAGTTCTAAGTTAAGATTTGGAGTGCATTACGTGGTGGAAGAACACATGACAATTGATTAATTCATAAGCAGACTCGATTAAACAATTGTTCTCATAACGATGCTTAGGTGTTAAGTTACTGAAATTGATTGAGATCACATGAGAAATGACTATTTTAATCTTCAGAGTTCAATTCATATATTATTCTCAGTTCGACGCAAAGATTTCAAGTAGATCAGAAAGTGGATAAACACACAACAAATGAATAATCCATACTAAGATTCTATCCGAATATTTTGTTCAGTTCCAGGTAAAGATTTCGAGTTCGTTACATGGTGGAGGAACACATCCTCAAATGAATAAGTCATACTAAGATTCTATCAAAATATTTTGTTCAGTTCCAAGCAAAGACTTCGAGTTCGTTACATGGTGGAGGAACACATCCTCCAACGAATAACTCACATCAAGATTCTATCTGGATATTTTATTCAATCCCAAGCAAAGAGTTGGAGTGCATTACGTGGTGGATAAACACACCAAAAATGAACAATTTATAGGAAGATTCTATTAAAATGTTTTGTTCAATTCCGAGTAAAGATTTCGAGTTCGTTACATGGTGGAGGAACACATCCTCCAACGAATAACTCACACCAAGATTCTATTCAAATATCGTATTCATTGCGAAGCGAAAGTATGAAGTTGGTGAGATCGATTGAGATCACCTGACAAATGAGTATTTACAAGAGTTTTATTCGAATACTGTGATGTGTATTATATGGAGTATGTATGCTATGGTTAGAAGAAAGCCTCGTTGAAAATGAAGAACCCGTACGTTTGTTGATTAAGTGACGAATTAAATCTTTTGCAGCAGAATGTTCAATTGCTGCACCTTGTATCATTTGAAATAATACCATTAAAATAGTCAAGGCACAAGCCAGTTTGATAATGTTATTCATTATCATTGGTTTTGTTCGAAGGTAAAGTCAAATATTGGATGGATATGCTTGTGTAAATGATAAAGCTTTCCTTCGGCTTTATATAGGATGATCGTCGATGGAGAGAGAGAGAGAGAAAAAAATATTCTATCTGGCTGTAGAGAGGGGTAAGAAATATTTTTGGCTCGCATATTTGGACGGAGAGAGAGGTTTTTTTAGATGTATAAGTGTATACATGCATACGCATTTTATTTTTTAGCTAGTATGCATTGACGAAAAAAGAGGGTTTTCTATATGTATAGGTGTATACAAGTATACGTACGTTATTTTTTAGCTAGTATGCATTGACGGAAAAAGAGGTTTTTTTTTACATGTATAGGTGGATAAATAGACATGCGCAATTTATTTCTTTAACTCGTATACAGTGACTCAAAGAGAGGGACTTTTTATATGCAACGATAGGTACATGCATACGCATTTTATTTTTTACTTCGTATACAATGACGAGACATATTTCATTAAGATACGAAGAAAGAAAATGGGCAATGATGCATGACTGCACATTAAACAGACAAACGCACATGCTTGCCTATTTTTTTGTTATTGTATATTATGATAAAAAGGTAAAAATTTATTTGCCTCGTCATGCTCGAATAAAATAAAGTTTTTGAAACTTTAAACGTTACTAAATTCTTTAATTTATAACAAGAATAAATTAATTATAATAGTAGAAAATAAAAAGAAAGATTACTGATTATGTTTTCCATTCTTTATGATTAAGAAATCACTTACATACATGTATGTCAGTTCTCTTTCTTAGATTTCTATGTGATACTATTGATGATCAATGATATATTTTCTTTACTAAGAAGTCTACTAGTAGGATAAGATATAATGTATTTCTTCAATCAAATGACAGATAAGAATAACAATAATCAATATATGAAAAAAAAATTTGTGAGTATATCAGAACATTTATTATCAATTATATGTACTCTTCTTGTAATATACCAAAATAACGATATATCTGTATCACATCACAGCAGATGGTACAAGATCATTCGATCAAAATAAAATGAAAAAGATTTTTCATTAATTATAGTCGTTGTTTCATCATTCAAATTAGATAACTTGTCAATTATATTATAAAAAAGAATAATTCGTTACAGTTCATCAAACAAAAACAAATAACAATAACCAAAACTTTTTTTTCTTTTGGTATGTACATCAAGATAAGAATAAATAAATAAATATTAGGATAATAAAAAAAAGACACAAGTTAGAAGAGCGGTACCAAGTAGATCTCCAATTGCTGCTAAATATGGAATGCATACATTATCAGGATCTCGTTCATGTCTCCATACAAATATTACCAACCACTGAGCAATATATAGAAGAATAGCAACCTATTTACAAAAAAAGACATAAACTTGATTTATTTTTGTAAAAATAATAAAATAATTCTACTTGAATAAGTGCTGTTATAAGATAAAGAAAGATGAAAACAATTGAAAATCGAGTTTAATCTGTTGCTAATCGTGATATAATAAAACACGTGTTGTTGATGAATTACTTTCTGAGAAATAATTATAAAATAATCGACAATTCAACAGACAAGATCGACAGTATACTTGTTGAATAAAATATTTTGTATGAATCAGGAAAATTTTTTTGAGGCATGATATTGTGTAATATCTTGACATTCTCCTGGTTTGCCTTGTTGATGAAGTGTAGTAGATAATCGACTTGCTTGAATAGCTACTAAATTACCACCTACACCTAAAAGATAATAACATTTATTGACAATTCTTATTTTACAACAAATAAATCTTTACCGTTTATAACAGGTTGAAGTACTGTGTTCTTTTTTTATAGTAGAATAAGTTTTTTTTACAAATCATTCAATATACTAACCATGTACTAGTACATCTTTAACATATTGATTTCGAGAAGAGTTAATAATCCAAATTGGTGTTAAATTAAAAACAAATTGTAATCATTATAGGTATCCACGTATAATTATCTAAGTAATGTATGATTTATTTTGTAAATTTTGAATTTACAAGTACTCCTACCAATAATTCTAAATAAAAACCCACCGATATCAGCTAAAGCATCAAGTGTTGTTAAATCATCGAGTGAAGCAGCTATTGATGTAGCAATATTATCAGGATTGATTTTACATTTATGTGAAATGACCATAACAAAAATCATGATCCTACCTCAAGAAATAAACAATTACTTGTGTGAGAAAGAGAAGTCAGCATGATAACGAAGAAACAGTTATAAAATATTAAATAAAGTGAATTGACGATACTATCTCTATTATCTTTTAGAATAAATTGTTTATTTAATCCTACACGCAACAAAATGTGAAATATTTCAAAAGATTGAGTACAAACCTAATGCTAATAAAGTAATTGATGCTGTTGAAACACTACTAGTACGTAAAACAAGTGCATGTCTTTAATTAAATTGTCCTTGACGTACTCATCTCATTGCAAGTGATACAAGAGCAACAAGAAAATCAACAACAATAGCTTGTAATTGCGTCAAAGCTATATTTCCAATATTAGCCTAAAACTATATAAGTTTATACTGACTGTCTTTGAAATAAATTATAATTACATACTTGTATAGATAAACGTGATGCTAACCTCATTTCTAGATTTTCTTTTAAACCAAGTAGAGCTGGAACAAGTATATAAATTTCAGTTATTTCCTTAAATACATTTAATCCCTAAATAGAAATATTATAAAATTACAACATTTTTTGCAGTATAACAAAATCAATAGTTTTCTTTTTTTTAAACAGATCTATAAGTTAAATATATTCAGTACATAAAAACAATTTCTAATTTGAGTTTGATTGAAAGGTTAATATTATTCATTGATGATCAGACATAGACGAGTTTCTGAATTTCTATTATTTTAAAAAATACTATCGAATTTTGAAACAATTAAAATCCTGTTAGAAACACTATAAAAAACATAGAATCATAATATTAATCAATTTAATGAATAATAAATGGAAAAATTGATGATCTATATTCATTCATTGTAAAGAAGGTATTTCAGATGAAAATTTCTAGAATTTCGATCCATCTCAATAGTAACACAAAGGTTTTCAATTCAATTGACTTCATTAATTATGTCATATTCTAATCAAATCAATACCATGACTCGTTCAAAAACTAATCGAGTAACAACCATACCAAATCCTGCTATCATAAAAGGAATAAAAACTTGACATACTACAATATACCATTTTTCTTCGTTATGATCAAATATAGTCGATAATGTTGTTTTGTTATACCGCGAACGATTTTCTATAATACGAAAAAAAATGAAATTTTACTTTTATATCAATATTATTTAACTTATGAACAGGAATAAATATTTCAACTCCACTATCCTTTGAACTTATATCTGAATCGGAATTATTATCATTTTCATTGACTATGTTTGATAATCCAATTCTACTAAAATATTAAAAAGAAATATAAAGTCGAACAAAAAGTTAAATTTTTTTCGTACCATTTTCTTGAAATAAGCTGACAATAATTTGTCTTTTTAATAAAAACTATTGCTGATGTTGACTGTCAGCTTCTTCCATCATAAGTACAAAAGTAAACAAAACAACTATTGTACGTATATCTATCGATATTATATAAACAACATGACAACAAGCGCCACATGCAATTTATTTGAATAAAAGAATAATTATAGAAAAATAAATTCAAAATAAATTTATTATGTTTTTGAAAAAATATTTTCTTAAGAATTTTTTTTCGTCGGTTAAATACTAAAATCTAATAAAATTTTCGTTATCATCAAGGTGTGGGTGTGGGTGCGTGAATATCAATGAACAAACACCATACTCACACCTACCCTCAAGATATATATTATATAATGAATTAATTTCATTGGCTAATGTTTTGTAATATAAATTTTATATTGTTTCCTAAAAACGAAGTCATAATTTATTTTAATAATTGGTTCAAACCATTCAAAAGTGCAAAATCAAGAACGATATAGGTTTTTTTACTATATCTTCTAGATTTAAAAAGTCTTGATCATTATGTTTTTCGTTCAAAAATATCGCTAGCTTTGAACTCAACATCAAGATATTCTCACGATACAATACAAAGATACTTTATGCGATGCACAGTATAAAGTGCGATTGTATTAATAATTTGATTAAAAATAAATTCAAATTCTACTGTCATATGTGAGGTGTGAATGTGGGTAGGTTAAGAGATGACAGATACGAACACCCATACTCACAACCTCAACACCCACCCACACCTCCACCCTCACGAACGCACATATTGCAGTTTATCTAATCTAGTTGCCTATCCTACTTTTTGAAAACTTCGATTTTTAATATAAAAAAATAAAATTTCCGATGAAAGAACACTAGAATTAGATATTTATCATTCTAATCAGACAATTCTAACTAATAATTTATTACAACTACACTATTCATCGCTCACTCATTTATAAAAAAAAGTATTCATCTAATTATTTGAGTTACTATTTACTATTAATCATTTTTTTATGTAAATTACTCACTACTTCATATTAATTCTCACTTAACATTTCTTTTATTATAATATGCAAAATATTTTAGTATCTCGCCTTCGATGAATTTCTAAAAACTACTCAAGACATTTCAATGTAATTCTTTTGTGAAAATTCTTAATAAATAAAATTAATCAATGTGTTATCCAGTCATCGTCATTTATTCTCTATCAAGATATTCTTCAATTTTTATCGAAAAATCATCATAATATTAGCATGTAAAGAAATATACAAAAAGACTGGAAGAGAAGAGTCTAAAGCATAATTTTTGTAGACTTATTTGAAGTTCTAATATGTTTCATTTGTTATTCGTTTCCTATGTTCTTTTATTGAAATTTTTTTATGATGATAAAGAATCTTTGTGAATATTATTGCATGCATAATGATAATAATTATCTTTTTTCTTATAAAACTATATGACAATCGACAGTTTATTTACACTCAGAACCAAAAACATTACATCTTTTTGTCAACCTTCGTATAGGATTAATTTTAATCGTCTATGTTCTATTCAAAAGGTTTCAATGATCGTTCATTTTGATGATAACACTCAAGTTGCATAATCTTATCATTATTATGTTTATTTTTATTTTTGATTCAAGATTGCCTTATTGAAATTTTAAAACTAATTTTAATTACAAAATATATCGATGTATAGATAGAGCAATATTATAATGAATGATCTAATGTATCGTTTCACTACAATATTTTGATGTTTCATTAGAATTTATTTTTCAAATAAAAAAGAGATAAAAATTATGATTATATTTCAATAGAATTTAATTTAATTTCTATGTCTTTTATATTACTCATCCATTTTCCATTTAAATTATTTTCATGTTCTTCTAATAGCCGATTAATATTATTTCCATTATTAGTTGAAATATCATTCCATAATTGTTCAATAACAATATGAAATTCATCTAATGTTTGACTAATGATATTTTGTAATTTTTCATTTAAAACAATCATTTATTCAAGTAATTCTTTATAAACTATCATTTTATCAATATATCGACGAACATTACGATCTGGTCGAATTTGTCTGATACGTTTACGTAAATCATTAGAATTTGATAAAAGAGTATTTTCAAGATTATCGAACATTTCATCAACAAAAACATAAAGTTCATTTGATTTATCAGTATTCGATTTAAGTTTAAGAAGTAATATTTTAAAATGTTGGTATTTTCTATTAATTAATTGTGTGATTGTATCCTACGGATAAAATATTTAATCGATTATCTTTCATTTATCTATTAAAGTCTAATCTTATTCAATAAACGAATAACATTACTAATTCACACAATCTTCAAATTTCCAATATAAAATTAGAAAATGTTTTCTTAACATTGCATATGTAGGGTGTGGGTGTCAATGCTATAGGAGTAGATGGATCCACACCCACACCCTCAAGATATATTATCTGTTCCTAACTTGTATATATAGAAGATTCTTCTTTTTTATCTCAAAAAGTTTAAGTAATAAGAATATTTTTCTTATTGTCGATATATGTTCTACACGTATGTATATAATCTAATGAATATGGTATTGATAAGTCTTATATTAAACTTAAATTTTGTATTTTATTTTAGCGAATAACTAGTTCTGAATAAAGTTCACTATGTTTCAACTTTTTCAAATTCAAGTTTTAGTTTGTTGCCTTCATGCCTGCAAGAATATAGATATGGTTCTTGTAGATAGATATATAATACTAACCATATTCAATCATATTCGTATTGATTTGAATGTTTATGTTGCTTAGAAAAATATTTTTATGTTTACTGGATTGAGTAACGATTTGCAAATTATTTTATTTATCATTCTTCAATGGCTGATTAGATATGGCTTAATTTATTTTTCGATATTTTAATAAAATGTAATAAATAAATATAATATTGTAGATTATCTAAAGTCAATTATTTATTGTACAAAGCTTGACATGAATATAATTCTTATTCACAATAAACTTATTCTTCAATTGAAATTCAGTATAAATAAATTGTACAATATGTATTTTCTTTAGTGCTAAGGAAGTTTTATTTTCTATTATCGATATATAATAAAATTAAACTAACAACTTCAAAAGCCTTCCAATTTGACTTTTGTTTTTTATTATATCATTTGTATATATATATATATGTATGTATCTTCAACTAAATGTGTTGATGATCTTTTTTTATTTGTATTTAAAATAAATAGGCGTACAAAATTCAATAAAAGCAAGAGATACAAATGAGAAGGTAAGCGAAAACCTAAGCAGAATAAATATGATTATATGCAATATTTTTCTGTCAGATTGTATCAACCTGTTTTCCCAAAACAACGTCATATGTATACTTTTAATAGATCTATTAAAGAATATGATATCGACAAATGATGTATGTATCGTACTCCAAAAACAAGAGCAATCGATGTCCTCCATCATCTATGTGAGTATTTACGATAAATTGGAATGTTTATCAATGAACTCATAACTATGCTTGAATAAATAGCGAGACAGTGGTACGTTGCAATCTAGATCTTTGAATGTGAAAAACAACTATTTGAACGGCTTTTGGTATGATCAGTTTCAATACTGTTATTAAGGGCCTTCCTTCCGAGTCAAAAATCTATTCTTATTTTCAGAGTACTTAATCTTACTGAAATTTTTACTAAATATGTACCTGACCTTGAATAGTTTTCAGTAAAAAATTGAGCTCATAATATTGAGTATTACCAGAGTTATCCTAATATTAATGGCTAACAAGTAGGTGTCCATGGATCCAAGATTTTTTTCACAATTTGAATGATATGGACCTCGGGATGATGTCAAAATGTACAAAATACTTGTCGCTATAACCAAACAGAGCCGGCTTTTTAGAAAAGGTTTTAAAAAAAACCAAGGTGGGTGGGTGTGCGTGTGGGTGTGGATATTCTGTTCTACCAACACCCACATCCCCCTACCCCACACCCACACCCACACCCACCCTCACCCGTACTCAGTACATTTGTACTTAGTATTTTGCAACAATACTATATTTTGCTCTTATAGTGATTCTGTGTGTTAATATTTAAAAACTTCACAGTTCAGTGACAATTGTAGGAACAACGAAAATTCAATGTAGTATCCATACAGTTATAATACAGTATAGATCTACGTTAAATAACTCGGATTATGTCGAGTAATTATCTGTGTTCATGAACAAGAAAAATAATCATAGTGAGGTTGTATAAGAAGCTTATTGGTGATATACAACAGTGTACATCCATTTCTAGAGTATTATATTAAATCGTATCATCAATAGCTTATACTCAAAATTTAATTTATTTGCACTTATAGAACGTGTTAGGTGGTATCATCATTTAGTTTCATTTCTTTCTTACGTCATATATATATATCTTCTTTCGTTCTGTTGTCACATATACATAGATCATATATAGTGTGGCTCATCAACACTTGATCCTGCTGTACAATAAGATGCGTATTTAAATGATCTAGTTCGTACAAAATTCTCGGAGTACTAGTTTCATTCTTAGCTAAATATTCTTAAAAATTTCATTGAACGAATATCTTCAGTTCAAGCAAGTTCTGCTCCTATAGAAAGAGTTTTCTCTCATGCAGGACTTATATTGTCATCGAGAAGAACAAACTTGAACGAAAATCTTTTTCGTGACTTAGTTTTTCTACGTGTGAATCAGAATTTGCTTTGAAGTTCTTATATCATACTCACATTCATTACTTATTTATGTCAGATATATTTTGGTTTACTTGCCATTTTACTTTGTGATTTTACTTGTCTTTTATTTGTTGTTTTACTATTTTTTACCTTGTTATTTCACTATTTTTTTACTTTGTTGTGTTACTGTCTGAGTCAACTCGCTATTCACTATCTAGCTATTATTTGTCAGTTATGTCTTTTTGATATTAATAAAGTTTAGCGTTTTACTATAGAAGAACATTCTGTTTTATTTATAAATGACTCTTTTAACAAAATAATATTATGCATGGTTATTTTCTAGACATGCGTTAGAAATAAATGGACTACAAAAAACAACGTACGATTCTCTCATTTGTGTTTTGATCGTAAAGAATGATTTCATACACCAATATTTAATTATTTACTAATATCTAGAATTTAAAAAGACCCATGAAATGTATCACTAACATATAACTTATATGAAAACATTCACAGGAGAGTTCTGTTAAATTATACAGGATCTTATCAAGTACTAGTACGTTTGTACTTAGTACTGGTACTTCGTATGACTGTACTACAGTAAAAAGTATAAAATCCTAGTACTAAGTATACAAGTCCAGTACATAGTGTATGTACTTGTACTACATAAATGTACTGAGTACTGCAGATTTTTAAGTAAAAAGTACGAAAATACTTAAGTATTGTACTAAGTATCTAATCACTGAAATCATTTCTTATAAGTATCGGTACAAAAAAAGACATTTCGACTATCAGTTATAGAACGTTGCTAGAACATTCTTTTTATATTAATAATCTGTAGCTCTATTATACATTGCTATATAAGTACAGAATACATAGGAACCTTCTTTGCATGGTATCAAAGCCATTCAAAAATAAAATAAAATATGATTTTATTCAGAATCATATCGCTATTAATATTTAAATTGGGTTTTGTATCGAAAGATTATTATGAAACTTATTTCTACTGCAGTTCCGAAGTAAATATGTGAATTTTAAAGTGAATATCTCCACTTTTATGAGAGAGACATGATAATTCTTTAGAAATTGTTTGAATATAAATAGGAGTCGATAGTCTTTTTTATTTCAAACTGAATTTTGAAAAACAAAGCGGTCCCACTTTCACCAAAAAGTAGAAGACCAGGAGAAAATTGAAAGCATTAACTTTCCTTACACTCAAGTGGATGGTCAATATTTTAATATCCAAGAATGCCATCAAAACTAAAGATAACCTGTGCTCTTTTTACCGTTTCATTTTATAGATATGAACAGAAAACGACTTGCATGAACTTTCTAAATAACAATGACTACCTATGCCATCGTTATCACTACTCTCTTGGTAGTGAACTTAAGCAACAAAGGGAACTACGGGACTGAGGAGACTAGGGGACTAGTAGGAACTAACAATTTATGCACAAGTAGAATTTTATTTATGTTTACTGCATAGTCGAGCAATGTTGGGTAAATACTTCTCAGGTGTGCTGTGTGCATCTCCTTATAGCCAGTTATCTTAAGGTTTGACATTGAAAAGAAAAAAATTCGAATAAAATGTGGATTACAAAGAGTTCTCCCATTCACAATTTTCTTCGAAATAATTGCAAGTTTTCAGAAACCATCTAAGGTGATGTATGGATTTTACCATATCTTTTTTAATTATGAACCGTTTTGTAGTTAATTTATTCTGAGCAGTATAAGAAATGAGATGTTATTTTTGAAAAAGAGGGAATGGTAACGCAATTAAGAGGAGAGGTAAGTGTGGGGACGGATGCAGAAGGAAACCACACTTACACCCTCCCCGAGTCCCTTAGTCCTCTAGTCTTTAGTCCCTTAATCCCTTGATCCTCTAGCCTTTAGTTCCTTGATCCTCTTAGTCCTCGTAGCCCTCTAGTCTTTTAGTCGCCTTAATCTCCTAGTTGTCTTAATCTCCTAGTCTGATGGTCCTCTTAGTTCTCTAGTTCCTTAGTCCTCAGTTCCTATTCCTCCTCCCTCCTCATTTCAGTGTGAAATCGACTTCGTTTTCTTTTTCTAAATTCAGTTTGAAATTAAATAGATCGTCATATGATAAATAGATTGGAGAGACTGCTATATTTAAATGACATTTGCATCTTCCTTCACTTTCAGATTTAATCTATTTTAGTTATAGTAGCAAAACTAGTATTTTGTCATAACACACCCAGATAATCATAAGCATTTCTATCACTTGTTTTTATTCATATATAACTGAAATCAAATAAAAAATGGATTTGCAAAAGACTAAATAGCTCACAAGAATGA